AAAAAAAAAAAAAAAGACTACATGAAGAAATAAAAACTTCCCAGACTGGATGAAAGACACGAATCTTTACATACAAGATGCTCAATAAACTCTGAATAGGTTAAACTCAAAGAAACACACATGATGACACATTATAATCAAACTGTTGAAAGACTAATAAAAAGAAGGAATCTAAAAAGCAGCAAGAGAATAAAGAACAAGGGATCCTTAATAATAGGAACAGCTTATTTCTTATGAGAAAACAGACATCAGAAGGCAGTGGGATGATGTATTTAAAACACTGAAAGAAACAAAGTGTCAAACAAGAATTCCGTATCTGGCAAAACTATCTTTCAAAAATGATGGAGAAATTAAGTCAAAGATGAAGGAGTAAGATGCTAGTAGACTTGCCCTACGAGAAATGCGAATAAGTAAGTCCTTTAGGTAAAATGAAAGAATACTAGATAATAACTTGAAGCCATACAAAAAAATAAAGAACACTGGTAAAAGTAACTACATAGGTAAATATGAAAACCAGTATTTATTATTGTGATATTAATGCATAACATCTGTTTTTTTCCCCCTATGATTTAAAAGACAAAGGCATAAAACAATAATTATAAATCTGTGTTAATGGGCACCCAAAATTTAAAGATGTAATATTTGATAATAATGACATAAAGTGGGGCAGACAGAATTGTACAGAAGCAAAGTTTTTGTACACTATTGAAGCGAAGCAAAGCAAAGCAAAGTTGTATATAGGCAGTTCCTGGGTTGCAAGTATCTGATTATGGACAACTAGTACTTGCCCATTATTATTATGTGAATTTGTCTTCATTCTGAAAGGACTGAACCAATCCCTACTCACAACAAATTCTTCATCACAATCACCTTTACTTGCAGGTTTTAAATCACTGAAATGGCTTTGAGCATTTTTCTGCACTAAAGTAAGATTAAATAAGAACTATAGTATACACCTGTTCCAACTTAGCTACAAAGTTTACTTAAACACACACTTAGGAATGGATCTCATTCACAACCTGGGGACTGCATATACTATTGAGGTATACTACTGAACTAGATTGCCATAAATATTAGATATTAATTGTAACCCCCAGGGAAACCATTAAAAAAGATAACTGAAAAACAATAAATGATGTATGATCACCCTAACCAAAGAAGACTTCAGTCCCACTTTGGTTATGTTCCCTTTGGGTCTCCTGGCTGGTTTTATACTAAGAAATGAACCTCTCGGGGGCACTGCTTTAGTCTGGGTTGCAAGTTGAAAAGGAGACATTCTCTGTTGCAGAAACTCAAGGATGTAATGACTTCACATGTCTTTATTGTTTCCCCAGGGTGGAAAGGGGAAAAATACTGAGTTAGCTGCCATTTAGACATTTTTACCATAACCAATTCTGAAAAAATTAAAAACACCAAAAATCACCTTGATAGATATTAAAGTGATCAAACAAAATCTAAGTATAAAATACTTTTTAATCTGCAAATTTCCTTTTGGTAGTGGGTATGGTAGCTGCTGCTTCTTTAAAACTTTTAGCAGTCAATGTAAAGCTTGGGACCAGTAACCTTTTGGAAAATCACTCTAAAAGATGTAAAGAGTCCTTGGTATAACTAAGCTATGGGGTTAACTCACAGCCAGAAGAAATGTAACAGCTGAAAATGATGACAAGATTATGAAATACACAACTAACCTGAAAAAGGAAATGCTACTGTGAACATCTAGCAGGATGACTGTTGAACAGAAACCAAGACATGAATCCTTCACGTTTCTGGGGCAAGGACAAGTCCACCAGAGACTGTAAAATTCTTCTAATTGCTTCCTGTCTTATTCTTGTAACATATTCTCTATATAGGATCCTTGGTGATTCCACAAATGTGTATGAAGCCTCATTTCACCACTCTGCTCAAACCCCTCCCAGAACTTCTTATCCACTCCAAACTCAATCCAAAGTCTCTACACTATCTACAAGGCTAACCATGACTGGCCCAGCCATCTCCGAGAGCTCATCCCCTTGCTTTCCTCCAGAAACCTGGCCTTCTTGTTCTGAAACATCCCTGGAAACCTAAATGGTTCTCTTCCTCACTCCCACCAGGGCTATCAGAGAGGCTTTTGCAGACTACGTTACCTAAAATAGGAATTCTCCCCAACATTACTTTTATCTTCCTACTGTACTTTATTTTCATTCATAGCCCTTAGTACCACCTGATGTTCCATATATTTATTTTGTAATTTGTTTACTGACTCCCCCAACCTTCACCTCGACGTAAGCTCTAAGAGAGCAGAGACTTTGCTTCATTCACTGCCATATATCTAGCACCCAGAATTGTGCCAGGCAAAGAAATATTCAATGTTTGTGTAACCAATGTGGTCAAAGGAAAAACCATAAACACCTACCCAGAATACATGTCATGGGGCAGGTTTCTTCCAGGTTACTCAGAAACACTTCTTTTTTATAGAACATTTTTGTGGGTTCATGCTCTGTTTCTTCTGGGTGGATGAAGATCGGGCCATAAAAATATGCAGCTCCATCTCGGACCCATACCTTTTCAATTCTTGGGGGAAAAAAGAAATTTCATTAAAACAGAATTTATTCATTTTTGAAGGATTAATCAACACAAATTCCTTTAACTAGAAATTTAATGATATTTAAGATTTAGAGGAGTTTCTCTGGCTGTTTTGCTAATAAAATAACTTCCTTGACTTTTTTCCCCATTTAAAGTACATGAGAAGACAGTTGGAAAAAGAAAATCTGACTACTTCTCACCACCCTCTTTGAAATTGCCCTAGCCTGAGCCATCATCATTCTTGCCTGGATCATTAAAATAGCCTCCTAACAGATCTTCTTGTTTCTACTCTTGACTCTTTACATCTATTCAACTACCATCAGGCAGAGCGATTCTATTAAGACCTAAGTCAGAAGTCACTTACATGTGCTAAACAATCCAGTGGCATCCCAATTACTCAGTGTGGTGGTGATGTTTTTGTGTCAACTTGGCTGGGCCTGGTTGAGTGGCTGGGCAGCTGGTGGTAGTTACTCCCCATAATGAGACTGGCAACTGAATGGTGGGATCTACCACAAGCAGCTGAGTAGGTGCTTTGGGTATGTGGTCTACTTCCCGTATATAAGCAGCAGCTTTGGGAATGGTCTCTAGCTTATGTCACCTTGAACCTTGCATGTAGCAGCCTGCCATGTTCTGCCGACCTTGGGATTTACAATGGACTTGAATTAATGGCCTGCCATGTGATTTGGTAATATCGGGACTGTGGCTTTTTACTTGTCAACCTTGGGCTTGGCAGCCTCAGCAGCCAGCAGCTGTCTGAGTGAAGAAAAGCCTCTAGCTTCTGTGGGCTGGGAGCAGGAGACAGAGCTGAACCCCAACGTTGACAGGCTTTCACCCTGCCCCTAGGGCCTGGCACTTTGAACTTGGACTTAAAGTCTCCAAACTGTAAGAGAATAAACTCCTGTTGTTAAGGCCATCCCATTTGTGGTATATTCTTGTCAGAGCAGCACTAGGTAATTAGAACGCTCAGCAAACGCCCAAGTTCCTACAATGGTCTCTGAGGCCATTACATGATTTGCACTATACACCCTCCTCCTGATGCCTTTCTGACGTTACCTGCAAACCTAACTCATGCATTTTTCACTCCTCCAGTAATGCTATACTTACTGGTGGTTTAAACAGATCAGGCAGGCTCCTGCCTCGGGCCTTTACACTAGCTGTTCCCTCTGCCTGTTACATTTTGTCCTTAGATAGTCACATGACTCACTCCCTCAGTCTCTTCAAGTGTTAGTTCAACTGTTAGCTTCTCAGTGAGGCCTATACAGACCACCTTGTTAAAATACCGCACCACCCTGCTTCAACCACAGCACTCTTGATGCCCTTTGCTTTTATTTTTTCCATAGCTCTTATATGATTTACTTACTCACAATGTTTACTGTTTGCCTCCTCACTAGGTCAAGGCTCCATGGGATTAGGGAGATATGTCTGCTTTATTTACTGATGGATCCCCCGGGCCTGGTAGATAGTAGGCACATAATAAATGCTTACTGAAAGGATTAACAAATACAATCTGGAAACTGAAGCTCACAGAGATAATCGTTTACCTAAGGACATGAAACTAGCAGGGCTAGGAGTTCCAGCAAGGTCTCCTGGAAGCACTACATGTTCTAAGCCATTACTCTACTGCCCAAACTGGCACCTGACTCTTTTCTATTGTTTTATACCACCCAACCATACTTCCATCCATTCACTTGTTCATCAAATATTAAAGCCCCCTACTATGTTTCAGGAGAGCTCTGGTAGCACAGTGCCTAAGGCACTTGACTGCTAACCAGAAGGCTGGCAGTTCAAATCCACCAGCCACTCCCCGGAAGGAAGGTTGGGCAATCTACTTCCGTAGTGATACTGCCTCGGAAACCCAAGGAGGGGTTGCTATGGGTCGGGTCGACTCCACGGCAATGGTTGCATTTGTTGGTTGGTTACTATGTTTCAGGCACTATGCAAGAACAGTGGATACAAAAGGTGAGCAAAAACGGAGCACCCCTATTCTCAAGGCACTTGCAGTTTGGTATGGAACTCTGACAATAACCTAATAAACACCAATATATGACATGTGTTCTGAATGGAAGAAAATATATGATGCTCTTGAGTATGAAAAAGGAAGCTCTAACTAAGTCTGGAGAAGACAGGGAAGATGACTTTCTTAAGGAAGTGTCATTTCAGTTTAAGCTGAAAAAGGAGTTCACCAGGTGGGCAGGGACCCTCCTGAGCTAAGAGCTCAATAAATGGCAGAAAAAGAGGAAAAAAGAGCTCACAAGAGGAATTCAGAAAAGGAAGTGTGGCTGAAGGTGAAAAAGGTGTAGTGTGAGAAGCTGGAAAAGTTGCCAAGGGAAGGACTTTTTCCTTCACTTCTGCTTCCAAATCTCTGGAACCCAATCTCAGCCTCCCTACTTCAATGACACATACCTGCCCACTCGAGGGCGCACCAGGCCATGAGACTTGATGAAGACACAGTCACCAACCTTCAGCCACATGTCATTGTAATGAAGCTGCTCAAAGTAGTGGCAACCTGGTTCACCATTGGACATTTCCACAGGGACATCTTCTTTTTCCTGTAGCAAAGGGAACTGGATGAAGAAAGGCAGCTGACAATCAAGCAAAAGACAAAGGTAAGAATGAAAAACAAGACTTTCCTTCACATTAACTTCAAGAAAAAAATAAAACAAAACCATAAATAAAAGCTGTGATAAGGTAGGAAACCAACAGGTTAGACTCTTGAAATCAAACTATGTCTTATGATATATTGCGTCTATTTAAAATTTCTAGTCAGTTTTCATAAAATAATAATACCACAAGATGCTTTTATTCCCCTCTCCCTCATTCTCATAACCTTTACAAAAAACAAAACCAAAAAACCCCCAATAATACTGGAGAGGAAGCATTTGGAAGCAGATTCATTCATTCACGCATTATTATAGAGGAATTCTACACAAACTTTCTCTACTGTATGTATGGAGCTCCCTTAATTTCTTAACATTAACTGACAATTTGAAAATTTTTATTTTGATTTATTCCAACATGGACAGGAGAAGCACAGTTCCTGTGACATAATCACACATATTTTGTTTCTGAATAAGTTACAGCCTCTGTCACCTACTGGATGCGATGACACTGGGCAAATTAACTGACCCTGTGTGCTTCTGATCTCTTATCTTTTTTTTTTTGGAATGTGAGATTTTTTTTTGTTTTTTATTAGGATTTGGGTGAAGATTTACAGAGTAAATTCACTTTTCATACAGCAGTTCACATATACTTTGTCTCAT